ATAATAAAATTCTATTCTATTCTATTCTATTCTATTCTATTCTATTCTATTCTACTTACCAAAGGCCAGGAAAAAAATGGATTACCCCAGTTTTTTTTCCCCTCCTTCTTCCCTGGCAGGTTTGGTTCCAGAACAGGCGTTCTAAGGAAAGGCGCATGAAACAGCTGAGCGCCCTGGGGGCCCGCAGGCACGCATTTTTCCGCAGCCCTCGCCGCATGAGACCGCTGGTGGACCGTCTGGAGCCGGGCGAGCTCATTCCCAATGGGCCGTTTTCCTTTTACGGAGGTGAGTAAAGACAGGAGAGGGCAGACAAGAGATTCGATTTTACGTTCTGGGCTCTGGATCTCTTCCCTTCTGTTGCTATTCTTCCCCCCCCCCCCTCCATTTGTACCGGGAAAAGCAGGGAACAATGGAACCAAAAATGTATGGATAGCAGATTTTAGCTAACAGGATGATGTTATCCAGGCAGTCTTCAACTTGTAACAGTTCATTTAATGACTGTTCAAAGTTGCAATGGCCCTGAAAATAGTTTAGGACCATTCTTCGTAACTTATGAGCCGCGATGGTGCAGTGGTTATAATGCAGTACTGCAGGCTACGCCTGCTGACTGCCGCCTGTCTGCAGTACGGCAGTTCGAATCTCACCAGGCTCAAGGTTGAACTTAGCCTTCCATCTTTACGAGGTCGCTAAAATGAGGACCCAGATTGTTGGGGGCAAAATGCTGACTCTGTAAACAGTTAGAGAGAGCTGTGAAGCACTGTGAAGCAATATGGAAGTCTAAATACTATTGCTATTTTTCACACTTATGACCGTTGCAGCATCCCAACAGTCACATGATCAAAATTTTAATGCTTGGCGATTGGCTCATATTTATGACGGTTGCAGGGTCCCGGGGTCATGTGACCACCTTTGAGGGACTTCTGCCGAGCAAAGTTAATGGGGAAGCCAGGTTCACTTCACAACCGTATTTCTAACTGAATAATTGCAGTGATTCACTTAACAACCCCGGCAAGAGAGGTCATAAAATGACCTCTCGCTTAGCAACAGATATTTGGGGCTCAATTATGGTCGTAAGTGGAGGACTCCCTGTATTGGGGTTCGTATTGGGGTTTTATTTCTGTACGCCGCCCAGAGTCACCGTCAGTTGCGCGACTATATAAATTTAATACATTAATCTCTTCCTTTCCCTTCTCTTCTCCATTCACTAGATTATCAGAGTGAATATTATGGACCCGGAAGCAATTATGATTTTTTCCCACAAGGACCTCCATCTTCCCAAGCGCAGACCCCAGTGGATCTCCCCTTCATACCCTCCTCAGGACCATCAGGGACCCCACTTGGGGGGATGGACCATCCCGTACCTGGACACCACCCGTCCAGCGAAGCTCAACGTTTCACAGACATCATGTCCCATCCTCCCGGAGACTCGCCTAGCCCGGAACCCAATTTACCTGGTTCCTTGCACTCCATGTCAGCAGAAGTCTTTGGACCGAGTCCTCCATTTTCGTCCATATCGGTCAACGGGGGTGGTAACTACGGTAACCACTTGTCGCATCCACCGGAAATGAATGAGGCTGTTGTATGGTAGCTTTAAGCACCTGGAACTATGTTCGGGAAGGCATGAGTCAAGCAATTTCCATCCTGCACATACCGCGATGTATAGAAATGAGTTTCAAGAAATAGACATCCCACCCGCACCCCCGCATTTATTTTCACTCCTTTTTTCTCTCTCTCATTCGGCTTAATTCTTGGGAATTAATTGAATTTATTCAGAGCCCAGGGAAATTTTGCTACGAACTGGGGGACAATCTTAACCCAACAGAATGAAGGAAGATCACTTCCCCCCACCTCCTCCTTTTGTACTGAGTGAAAAAGACACTCGTGAAGTGTTTTGATACCGCAATATATATTACAGGATGGCTTATCCTTGGATGCTCACAACACGATCCTTCTAGGAATTGAGACGAGTTAACCTTTCCATCAGAAAAAAAAAAGGAACTAGTCCTGAATGAAAAGAATAAGCGAGCCAAGGTTCGCAAGAGAGTGAAAAAGGGAAGAACAAACAGCTTAAAAAGAATTCTAGCAATTTTTTTAAAAAATATGATTTTATTGCTTGTTAATTTTGCCTCTGAAAGTTGGACGCAGTTCACAATGACTTCTTGAGCCTCTGAATTTGCTTCTCAGGCAGACAAAAAATGTAGTTTATTTTATTGTTCTTTTGGGAAGGGTTTTGTTTTGTTTTTTTTGTTGGGCGGGTGGGGGTGACCAGAGTAACAAATATTTAAATGTTAGCCCTCAGTATCAACTTTCTACCTTCTCCAAGCAACACACACCAATAATCCTCAAAAAGACAGAAGTCCTCTTTGACTTTTATGTTTAAAAAGAATGACTTGAAAAAAAAAAGTGAATAAAGTGTTCTACCTTCGCATAAAAAAAAATAAAAGCTAAACAAATCTCAAATAAAGACTCTATGGAACTAGGGGGGAAAAAACAGTCAACTGTTTACGTCGAATGTTAAAATTCAGGAGCTCAATGTTTTACAAAAATAATAATAATAATAATAATCCTGTTTTAGAACCTCTTGTTCAAAAGCAAAGTATTTTGAGCAATCAACCAAAATCGTTCATCTTCGCTTTATTTTATTTTTTCCTTTGATTTTCCCTCCCCTGTAGATGTAATAGGACGTTACAGGGCTTATGAGTCACTTCTAGTTTGTTGAGATGGTGTTTACACAAGACAAAAGAAGACAAACCTTTTAAAAAAATCAGACGGTTGCCAAATAAACAATTCCATAGCACAAAACCTGGGTGGTAGGTACCCATAGGCCAGGAAAATCTTTTAAACCAAGTGTTACAAGGTTAAGGGGAGGAGGGGGAAAATTAACATCTTTGCTAATGTTCAGTCCTGTTCATCATTAATGGAATTGTTAATATGACTTATATAGACCCCACAGCTTTTATTTTTGTGTCTTTAAAAGAAAGTCCAAAATATTTAAATTTTATGATCAAATATGCAGTCAACCGCTGCTACACTTTTTTTCTCTCTTTATATATTAAATTTCGCATAGGTCTTTTATTGTTCAAATAAAACTAAGCTCGTGTGACCTCCAGTGCATATTAGACCATTCACTGTATGAAGTGGGGGGGGGGGAGTTGGATTTAAAAAAAAATTGTGAATTTTTAATAAAACTAGAAAATCTGATATTTAGATAAGCCGTGTTTCATTCAGTGCTTTCAACAAGGTTATGTGAAGCTATCCAAAACAAATGGGGGGGGGGNTCTATCTATCTATCTATCTATCTATCTATCTATCTATCTATCTATCTATCTATCTATCTATCTATCTATCTATCTATCTATCTATCTATCTACGCACGTGCAGGGCAGGCTGTTCGCACCATCCGCTTTGCCATGCCGGTGCACACAGAAAACACGCAAGCGCGAACGCAAGCCACGTTCACACGACACCCCTTCCTTTCGGTTCAGGCTAGGGGACCCCCAGCCTCGGCCGCCAGGATCCGCCCCAGCCTAACCCACCCAACCACCCACCAAGCAGGCGCGTTGCGGCTTCTCCTCTTGCATTCCCACGTTACGCTCCCTTCCCGGCCAAGCCCCCCCGGGGGGGGGGGAGCGCTTGGTGCACGTGGGAACCGGGCAACCCGAGGCGGCTCGGTCGTTCGCCGGGGGGAGGGCGGGAGGAGAGGAGGGGGAGAAGAAGAGTTACCCAGCCGGCGATCCACCCTCCTCCCTCGATCCTGCCCGCTGATAGGCTGAGGCCGGGGCCAGGGGGGCGTGGCCGCCGTTTGCCGCAAGAAAAGGGAGCAAAGACGCGTGTCGGTGGAGGGCGCGCGTGGGGAAAGGGGCTGACTCGGGGCTGCCATGCCCGGCTCGGCTTCCTCCACCCGGCCGGCTTGCGCTGCTCCTCCTCCTCCTCCGGATCGCTCCCTTAGCCGCGCAAGGAAAGCGCCGCCCGTCTGCCGGGGCTTGGCTCGGGGGGCTTGAACCCACGCGGAGCCCACCCACCCACCCAGGGATCGCAGGAAAAAAAACCCACCCCAGCTGCGTCCGGAGCTGAGCTTGCAAAAGAGTAAGGAGGGGGGGCGGGAGAGGTTGCGTGGGAATCCTGGAGGGGGTTTCCCCCCTTCTTTGCACCCCACCCGGAGGGATTTGGGGAAGGGGGCCCTGGAAGAGGGTGGGGGGCGTGCATGCCTTCAGCCCACGGCTGGCGTGGGCTTTGGCGAGCCGGTCCCGCGGGGGGCATCCGTGCGAGTATTCGTGGCTTCTCCGTGCGCGGGCGCAAGCATCTGTGTGTGTGTGTCTGTGTACGTGCGTGTAAAGCACACCCACCTGGGAGAAGATCACGGTGGAGGATGCTCGTGGTTGTGTGTGTGTGTGTGTGTGTGTGTGTGTAAAGCACACCCACCTGGGAGAAGATCACGGTGGAGGATGCTCGTGGTTGTGTGTGTGTGTGTGTGTGTGTGTGTGCAACGCTCACCGACCTGGGAGAAGA